GAGGTGAACGGCACGGCGGCCGTCGGGGGTCTGGTGGTGAGCGCGCAGGGTGTGGGCGTGGGCGTCTTCCTGGCTGCCTTCATCCTCATAGCCGTGGCGGGCAACCTGCTTGTCATCCTCTCTGTGGCCTGCAACCGCCACCTGCAGACGGTCACCAACTATTTCATTGTGAACCTGGCCGTGGCCGACCTGCTGCTGAGCACCACGGTGCTGCCCTTCTCGGCCACCATGGAGGTTCTGGGCTTCTGGGCCTTCGGCCGGGCCTTCTGCGACGTGTGGGCCGCCGTGGACGTGCTGTGCTGCACGGCCTCCATCCTCAGCCTCTGCACCATCTCCGTGGACCGCTACGTGGGCGTGCGCCACTCCCTCAAGTACCCCGCCATCATGACCGAGCGCAAAGCGGCCGCCATCCTGGCGCTGCTCTGGGCCGTAGCCCTGGTGGTGTCCGTGGGGCCGCTTCTGGGCTGGAAGGAGCCGGTGCCCCCCGATGAGCGCTTCTGCAGCATCACCGAGGAGGCAGGCTACGCCGTCTTCTCCTCCGTGTGCTCCTTCTACCTGCCCATGGCCGTCATCGTGGTCATGTACTGCCGTGTGTACGTGGTAGCGCGCAGCACCACGCGCAGCCTTGAGGCGGGAGTTAAGCGTGAGCGGGGCAAGGCCTCCGAGGTGGTGCTACGCATCCACTGTCGCGGCGCCACCTCGGGCGCAGACGGGACACACGGGGGTATGCGCAGCACCAAGGGCCACACTTTCCGTAGTTCGCTGTCTGTGCGCCTGCTCAAGTTCTCCCGCGAGAAGAAGGCAGCCAAGACACTGGCCATCGTCGTGGGCGTCTTTGTGCTCTGCTGGTTCCCCTTCTTCTTCGTTCTGCCGCTAGGTGAGTGACCCTCTCCCACAAGCCCCTTCCCTTCCTCCCTGAGCCTGTGGCTGCGCCTTCCTGGCACCCAGGCTCGGATAGTCCTGCCAGGTGACTAAGTTCACCACATGGAAGGCAGACTTAGTAACCTCCCTGGTCTCTTAGGCTGCTGCACGCGCCGCTTTGTGGGGGACAAACAAGAGGCTCCTCGTGTTTGCAGGGTTTATTTTACAGGCTTTTAACTTTTCTGGCCTTCTCCCTCTTTTCATTGCCATTACAAAGCTCTGGGCTTATTTTTCACTCCTGATCCCCCTAAATATCAAAGGTCCGTGGAAATCTGTGGAGGCGTCTGTGCACAGTATGTGGTCAAGTGTATGTGTGCCTCTACATATTAAGCATCACCATCACCCTGCCCCCGGATGTACATGCCAACCGCCAGAGGTGGTACACAGCGTGGACCTACACTCATTCATGAGCAGCAAACGCTGGCCGACATGTACATAAGCAGGCACCAGAAGCCACCTGCTTTCTCCCAGCACTCATTCAGTTTGGAAACTGGGCCCACTCAGATACCCTCCCCAGCTGGGCTCTCACTTCTGCAGTCTCCTCTTGGAGTGGAAGGGAGAGGGCTACGTGAGGGTGAGAAGGAAAGGGAAAAAGGCAAACTACGAAGTGTAAAGTTAATGTTGTTCGTCGCCATTTTTTAAATTTACTGAGCCCTTGAGCACTTCCAGAGGACTCTCCTGTTTCTTCCACAAGGGTCCCTGCAGTCCTGAGGGGTGGACAGCTGTTCTCAAGGGCTTCCTCCCACACCTGAGGTCCCTACTGGAAGCGTTGAGGCCGGTCAGCACAGGAAGGAGAAGGGGAACAGCATTTCTGAGGATGCATTTGCCTGAGTCACTCCCCCAATGGCTGCAACCTCAGCAGGCCCAAGCCAGGATCTTCCCTGCCTTTCCCAGGCTTATCCTTCCACACTCTGCAGCTGAGTCGGAAAAGGGACAATGGCTTCCCTCCTGCTCCCCTGCAGGCCCTCTCCACATAGCAACCAGATTGACTTTTATACATTATAGAGTGTCACGCTCTACGAAAACTCCTCAATGCTTTCCCACTGCCCTGGGAACAAAATCTAACTCTCCACCATGACCTGTGAGAGGGTGACCTTCAGATTTATTATTGTCCAAACCAAAATGAGACACTAGGAAGATTTATGCTAGAACCACAGGCATGAACCAGGACAGTGTGGGCAAACCCAGATGTGATCCCGCTCCTGTAAGGGAGGCCCTGAATGACGGGCTATCTCCCCTCCAGCCCCATTGCTTGGCAGCTCTGCCTTTTGCTCACTTCATACTCTGGCCCCTCTGACCTTCCACTTCCTTGTCCACACCCAGTGCTCATGTCCTTGCATTTGCTCTTCTCTCTGTCTGTCCTGCCCTCTTCAGCCCCTCCTGGCTAACTCCCCATTGTTTAGGTCTTGGTATAAATGTCCTCTCTTCAGAGAGGCCTTCCCAGATGCCTCATCCTCAGTGTGTCCTTCTCTGCATTTTCTTCCTCAAGACACAGGTTCACTCTTTTACTAGCTCCTTAGCTACAGTAGTATCTTGGTTTGGTGTCTGAATTTCCCCCACTGGCCCAGAGGCTCTGCAAGGGCAGGGCTGTGGTGGATGTGTTGTCACTGAATCCACAGCACCTAGCACAGTACCTAGCATATGAGGAGCAATAGAGCACAGCAACAAGGACCACTGTCTCTGGCACCAGGTAGCCTGGGTTTGAATCCCAGCTCCACCCTCTACTAACTGTGTAACTTCTGGCAAATCTCAGAACCCCTCTGTGTCTCTGTTTCCTCATCTATGATATAGGAATGGTGGTGATGGTTATAATGCTGACCTATTATAGGGATGTGGTGAGACATCAGTGAGATATTATGTGTGACTTTAACTGTGGCATGTGGTGAGTGCTGTGTGAGCTGTTGCTTTTGTAGTAAATGCTCAATACGAGATAAGGAATGCATAAATCACCAACTTGTAAAGCACCCAACCAAAGGTTGTTGGGGTAGGGAGAGGGATAGAGGGAGAAGAGAGAATAGAGGGCGTAGGGGGAAGGAAGAAGGCAGGCAGGAGAAAGTCATTGCGCCCCCCTTTAGAAGCACACCCACCCAATATTTAGAAGCCCCCAAGCCCACCACCTAGGCTCCTCGCCCTGCCAGCCGACCCTTGCTCCAGCCTTGCCCAGCACTGCCCTGTCCCAGATGCCCTCATTCCCCGCCTGCCCCTCGATTCACACCAGCTACTTTAGGGAATGATCAGCCTGTGTGTAGAATGCCACCTCCCTGCTATGGCCTTTTTACTTCTTTTAAAATTTCTAGTTACAGGATAATGGACAGATAAGGAGAAAATAATATAGCAAGTGCCTGTGTAAAGGCAATCACCCTTGTTGAACAGATACACACATTTTGCCATAGTTGCCTCAGATCCCTTCCTCTCTCTCTGTTTTCAAAGAAATACAACACAGCCACAACAACTAAGTTCCCTCCTCCTGTCCTTTCTTCTTTTGCCCCCCCCACCAGAGGTAAATCTGGTGTTTATCACTCCCATACATGTTTATACTGTTACCGAAAACATGTATATCCATGATAATATAAAGTTTTGTGTTGTGTGTCTTTAGGATTTATGTAAATCGCACCATGACTTGCGTACCAGTCTTCAGTTTGACTTTATACCCAACATTATATCGCTGAGATTTATCCATGCCGGTTCGTTTTAGCAGCAGTATAGTATTCTGCTTGAGAGTGTTCCACAGTATGTTGATGCGGCCTCCTGCTGAGTGTCGGGGGCGGCAGGGGGTGCGGGGGCGAGGGGGGATCTAATTTGGCAATTAACAATCAACACTGCGAAAGGCTACTGTTTTCTGAGGTCTAGATCACATGTCCCCCCTTTCCAGGAAGTCATCCCTAAATTTCCATGGCCTTTGCCCCTGGCTGGCGCACACTGCTCTCTCTCAATCCCTCCATCTCTGCTGCTCCTCGCACCAGGCATGGGGACCCGGGATGGAGGCTGGGGGGAGGTATCCTTATCTCCTCCTTCCTACCAGTCTGTGCTGTGCCCAGACTCCCAGGGCACCTCCCCAAGCTCCAGCACAGAGCCCAGGGCCACCGGTGGAGCTGAATTAAGTGGAATCTGGCAACAGTGAGCAAATAGGACAGAGTTCAAGCAGAGAAACAGAATATTCCAATCATCATGATGTGATCTGGAGGGCAGGTCAGCAGAGAGAACAAGAGGACAGAGCCTGAGGTGGGGGCAGGAGTGGCTTAAGGACTGTGCAGGAGAGAGAGAGGCCCAAGAGGTCCTGACACCACCCCCCAGCACTGGGCCCAGGGTTGGGAGAAGGAAAGTACCTTTGAAAGAACAGGAAACATTCTAAGCAGAAGATTTTAGGGGAGAATGTGGCATACCGAGGGCTGGCATATGGTGAGAGATGGAGGGCATTTGGAACTTAGATAAGGGGGCCAAGGGTGGAAATGGTTACAGAAGCAGGAGTGTGGAGCACAGTTTTCCCAGAAAGAGGATGGAGGGACAAAGAGAAGAAAGGAGCTGAGGATGGAGCCCTGGGGGGTTCCCAGTTTGAAGGAATCGGAAGGGGACAGAGAAGGGAGCAGCCAGGAATGGCATCTCTCTGCTTCCAGGCCCTGGTCCCCATGCCAGGTGTGAGGAGCAGCAGAGATGGAGGGATTGCGAAAGAGCATTGGGTGCCAGCAAGGGCCATACACCATGGAAATGACGGCACCCAGTAGGGCTACAACCCAGGGGTTGTCAAGCAGGCCCGGAATGCCCCTTACCCACACCTCCACACACAAAGCCGAGTGGAAGCTGCAGCCACAGCTACAGCAGTGACATAGCCAATGAATGGCCCCAAGTGCCCAGAGGGCATTGAGAACCTGAAGAAGGGAACCCAGGGTCCCAGAGGGACCTTGGCACAGGAGGCCTTGGACTGCCATCTATAAACCTGAAGTGCTGTGGGTCAGGCCAGAGTAGCAACAGAAAGAGACAAAGATGGGGTGTCCTGAACCATGAGGACTCTGGGAGCCCAGGTCAATGGCCAGAAAAGAATGGAACACAGACACCAGGCACCTAAAATCCTGAGGGGCCTGGAGAGGGGCTGAGGTCATCCCCCACACCTCTAGCTGCCCTCCTTTCCCCAGGAGGAGCAACTGCAGGGCATGTCGCAGGCAGGCAGAGGGTCAGCTCAAAGAACTTGAGACATCACTTGTCCTACACTGAGATTCCAGACAGCAAACTCAGGGAAGGCATAAGGACGTGAGAAGCAGCACTTACCCTCTTGAGAGGGTGCCCACCTGCCTGGCATTTTGTGCTGATGGTCCAGCTGTGCTGTCTGCTCTACGCTTACTGACCAAACATCCGTTTGCCCAGAACAGTCCTGATTTTGCCTCTTGACCTGAGTGATTACTAGTGCCCTTTTTACTCTCAAAGATATTTTAGTCTGGATGATAGAGTATATGGTCACCAATCCTTGGGGCCTTTGGAGGAGGGGCTCTTGGCAGCCCTGCCCATGACAAATATGTACCCCTGCCCTCATTCCAGCAAGCTGTAGCAAGACTGGGTGCCTGGGGAAATCACAGGACATTATGTAAAGATCCCTCCTTACAAGGCTTCTTTAGCCCAACTTACAGAGTAGTATAAGGAGGGACAACAGTTAGGGCCTTCTGCCTACACGGAGACTCTAGAGAAAGGGAATATGGCCCAGATGGGGCCGTCTGGAAGTGCGCTTGATTAAAGCCTCTGCCCCAGACACTTAGTGCAAGGGTCCCCTCACACCCAGAAATTAAATGCTTACACACTGTATGATTCTATGTTTATGAAGTTTAAAAACAGGCAAATAGTGATAAAAATCAGGATGGTGGTTACGTGTGAGAGTGTATGGGTGGGGAGGGGTGATATTAACTAGAAGAGAGTGCAAAGAAACCTTCTAAAGGGCTAGGAATGTCCTATGTTTTGATCAGGGCAGTG